TTGAACCACAAAAAGTGTCTTTTTGGATCAAGGAGGATAAAGATTTTGGGACACCTTGTTGACGCCAATGGAATTCATCCAGATCCAGATAAAGTTGAAGCCGTCTCTAAATTTCCGAGGCCAAGGAATATCTCTGAACTGAGGAGCTTTCTTGGATTATGTTCCTATTACCGAAGATTTATTGAGAACTTTGCCGACAAAGCTAGATCTTTGCATGACCTACTGAAGACTGAAAAACAATTTTATTGGGATGCAGCTCAAGAGAAAGCGTTTGAAGTCCTTAAAACAGCTCTAATTTCAGAGCCTGTCTTAGGACACTTTGATGAATCCGCTGATACCCATCTACACACGGATGCAAGCGGACATGGTATTGGAGCTGTTCTTCTACAAATACAAGGTGGAAAGGAGCGGCCTATAGCTTATGCATCTAGAAGCTTGACAAAGGCTGAAAATAACTATTCTACAACGGAAAAAGAATGCCTTGCTGTAGTCTGGTCTATTAGCAAATTCCGCCCATATTTGTTTGGTCGACCATTCACGGTTGTCACTGACCATCATTCTCTATGTTGGTTGGTAGGGCAGAAAGATCCATCTGGCCGTTTGGCAAGATGGGCGCTGAAGTTGCAAGAATTTGACGTGACCGTTATCTACAAGAGCGGACGCAAACATAAGGATGCCGATTGTCTGTCAAGGAGCCCGCTTGAGAACGATCCACCAAGTGCTGTGATGTCACTAACCAACGTCGATATAGAGCAGACTAAAGACCCGGATTTAGCTAAAATAATCGATAATTTAAACTCGGGCTACACCAGAAAGGAATTCAGCATTATCGACGGCATATTATACAAGAAAAACTATAGCACAACTGGAAGACCCTGGCTTATGATGATCCCTAAGCACTTAAGATCGGAAGTTATGGCAGATTTACATGACGCTCCTACAGCTGGGCATTTGGGTTTCGCCCGAACGTATGACAAAGTCAAGAAACGATTCTATTGGCCTGGCCTTTATAGAACTGTTCGCCAATATGTAAGCCATTGTCGGGAGTGTCAACGAAGGAAGAAATTACCTCGACGTCCGGCTGGACAACTTGTATCCATACCGCCCGTAGAAAAGCCATTCTATAAGGTCGGGGTCGATCTCCTTGGAAGATTTCCAGTTTCTAAAGATGGAAACCGTTGGATCATTGTGTGCACCGATTATATGACAAGGTATGCCATAACGAAAGCGATCCCAGACGGAGGAGCAATCGAAACAGCTAAGTTCCTGGTTGAAGATGTTATCTTGAAGCATGGAGCTCCTAGAGAAATGATAACAGATCGCGGAAGAAATTTCATTTCTCAAGTAATAAAAGAGATCAATGCTCTGTGCGGAATTGTGCACAGATTTACAACGGCCTACCATCCCCAGACCAACGGCCTGACTGAAAGGTTCAACAAAACTCTGGGAGACATGTTGTCCATGTACACAGGTGTCGAGCAGAAGGACTGGGACCAAGTTTTACCCTACGTGACTTTTGCTTACAACACTGCTAAACAGGAGGCGACCGGCTACACTCCGTTCTTTCTTGTCCACGCCCGCGAGGCCGAGACCTACATCGATGCCGTACTACCCTACCTACCAGATGAGATCTCTGACGACTACGTTGGGGAACTTGTGACCAGAGCTGAGGAAGCGCGTCAACTCTCCCGATCACGCCTTCTACAATCACAGGCGAAAGACCGTAGACTTTACGACCAGAAACATACTCCAGTCTATTACCAGAAGGATGATCTTGTGTGGGTTTTTACTCCCATCCGAAAAGTAGGGCTCTCAGAAAAGCTACTGAAGAGATACTTCGGTCCCTACAAGGTGACCAAGAAGCTTTCAGAAGTTACGTATGAAGTAGAGCCCGTGGACCCGTCTCCCCGATCACGGAAATCCAAGGATATCGTTCATGTCATTCGGATGAAGCCCTACCTGGACCCTGAAGAACAACATTCCATTCTGCTAGGGAACACAGGCAGTGATAGATTTCCTTCCAGAACAAGGGCTGAGATAAGCTAATCAGCGGGTCGCTGTTTTTTTCTAAAGAGGGAGTAATGTCAAATAGCTCCATCCAGATGGGACAACTGTCAATCATCCCTGGACCCCGGGAGGGGGGAAGCTGATATGTAAATAAGGAAAACGGGACGGTGGCTAACGCCGTTCATTAGGATTAACTTTTAACTTGGGTAAGTTGTACAAAACTCTCTCTCCCCCCTACAACTACCCCTTGTAATAAATTATTTATTACATTATGGTAATTATGTAAATATACATATTATAAAGGTAAATATACATATTATGGTAATTTTAAAAATAATATTTTGAATAATATTTTCATATACGTATTTAATGATATATTTTCTAAATGTTTGGAATGTGTTATAAGTAGGGTGGAATCTCTCTCATAGAAATATATCTTTTAAACATTAATGGCAATTATAGCACTTTTGAATGTTGAATATATTATTTTAAACTCATAAAAACAACTTAAAGTAGTTGTAGATTTTAGCATGTATATCAGGATTCAGACAATAACTCTGAAAGATATTACAGTGACCTTTATTGAAGACATACTAGATAACCAAGTGTGAACAAAATTGTCTCTGTCTTCTTAAAAGAAACAGATGACCGGCGACAACAAAGATTTTCCCCATCCTTAAGTTTTGTCCATGAGTGTATATATATCGGGATCCAGATAATAATTATGAAAGATATTTGATACACAATGACCTTTATTGAAGACACACGAGATAACCAAGTGGAACAAAATTGCCTTTGTCTCCTTCAGAGAAACAGACGACTGGCGACAACAAAGACCTACTTTATTAAGTTATGTCCATGAGTGTATATCGGGATCCAGATAATAATTATGAAAGATATTTGATACACAATGACCTTTATTGAAGATACACGAGATAACCAAGTGGAACAAAATTGCCTTTGTCTCCTTCAGAGAAACAGACGACTGGCGACAACAAAGACCTACTTTATTAAGTTATGTCCATGAGTGTATATCGGAATCCAGATAATAATTATGAAATATATTTGATACACGTTGACCTTTATTGAAGATACACGAGATAACCAAGTGGAACAAAATTGCCTTTGTCTCCTTCAGAGAAACAGACGACTGGCGACAACAAAGACCTACTTTATTAAGTTATGTCCATGAGTGTATATCGGAATCCAGATAATAATTATGAAATATATTTGATACACGTTGACCTTTATTGAAGATACACGAGATAACCAAGTGGAACAAAATTGCCTTTGTCTCCTTCAGAGAAACAGACGACTGGCGACAACAAAGACCTACTTTATTAAGTTATGTCCATGAGTGTATATCGGAATCCAGATAATAATTATGAAATATATTTGATACACGTTGACCTTTATTGAAGATACACGAGATAACCAAGTGGAACAAAATTGCCTTTGTCTCCTTCAGAGAAACAGACGACTGGCGACAACAAAGACCTACTTTATTAAGTTATGTCCATGAGTGTATATCGGAATCCAGATAATAATTATGAAATATATTTGATACACGTTGACCTTTATTGAAGATACACGAGATAACCAAGTGGAACAAAATTGCCTTTGTCTCCTTCAGAGAAACAGACGACTGGCGACAACAAAGACCTACTTTATTAAGTTATGTCCATGAGTGTATATCGGAATCCAGATAATAATTATGAAATATATTTGATACACGTTGACCTTTATTGAAGATACACGAGATATCCAAATGTGAACAAAATCGCCTCGGTTTACCTTAAAGAAACAGATGACCGGTGAGAACAGAGGCTTTCCACTTCTTTAAGTTTTATCCATGAATGTATATCGGGATTTAGACAATAACTCTGAAAGATATTCGATACACAGTGATCTTTATTGAAGAGACACGAGATAACCAAGTGTGAAAAAAATTGCCTGTGTTTCATTCAAAGAAACACACGACCAACAACAATAAAAACGGTCTAATTCTTCATATTTTGTCCATGAGTTATAGAGATACGATATAACCAAGTGTGAACAAAATTGTCTTTGTCTCCTCCAAAGACTTTCTATTTACTCAAGGTTGTCCATGAGTGTATATCTCATCTTAATCATATAAAAGTGTCATATCTATGGATTCTACCCGTTTCACTTATGTTTCTTGGAGATGAATAGAGCTCATCGATGGATGAACCAATGCAGTCAATGATATGGTTAGGAGTAGAAGGTCGAAGAGATCTGTCTAGTGGGGAATATTTTCAACCAATTTGGAATTGTACGTAGTTAGCCTGACTTAAATGATGGTTTCATAGACAGATTTCCTCTTAAATGAACAAACTCGATGTTTTTACCCAGTGTTTTACCCTTCATGGTTTGCGTCTAAATCAAGACAGTATTTCACATTGATCTCAAGATTGTTTATACATTCTAGGTACGACACAATAATATCAAATCCAAATATTATGTAAAATATATTGTGGCGAAGATATAATTTATAATATAATTTAATTATTTATTGTAAAATAATCATATATGTTACCTAGCTTGCTTGCTCGATATTCTCTAGCTGTAGATAGTTTGGTTGTTAATAATTGTCGAGTAGTCGTACCGACGTCATCAATAAATACTTTCACATCTTAAGATATACAAAGACTTGAATTCTACGTTACAATAATAAACATATTAACATATATCACTGGTGTAGCATAGTTCTAAACTATATCCTTATATATATAAAAATGAAATGCGAAATCGATGTTTGTTATCACATCACGCAAAATCTACTGACTCAATCATTATGGAATTTCGCATGTAGGTAGCTGAAGATTTCGTTTAACATATAGGCTATTCAAAAAACTAAAAAAATTAATGTGCTTTTTAAAAAAAAATAAAAACCAAAAAGCGTTAGTTCCAGTCTTTTACCGCTAGGGCGCAGCACTGGTCGCGACGATAAATGAATTTGATTTTTTTAAAGAGCATCGGTGGTTCAGTGGTAGAATGCTCGCCTGCCACGCGGGCGGCCAGGGTTCGATTCCCGGCCGATGTATTTTTTTTTAACAATTTTTAAAACTCATTTATATTATATCTTCTATATAAATGGAAATTTCATAAGTGGTGTTCGCTAAAAACTTTCGTTACAATGCATCAATTTCGACCAAATTTTCAACATTTATGTAAAACGAGATGGAGCAGGTTTTGCTTAACATCAAAATATTTTTCCTAACTTTAAAATACATAACTTTGCTGTTATCGATAAAATACAAAAGAAAATTCAACAGAGTTAATTTTATTTATATATAAATACAAAAAAAAATTCAGCAATTCATTCAACTCAATCTAAAAAAATATTCAAAACAAGCAATTTTAAGATAACACCATATGTAAAACAGTCGGCCAAGAAAACAACAACGATATTACATCTTTCTTACATTTTCACACACAATCTTGATTAATAATTAAAACTAATCTTTAGCATTGTTTATTATACTTCATAATATATAATATTCGTTAGGCAAACTTTCACTCGGATAAAACCCGGGTACACATCCGCTAGTATATATATATATTTATAAATGTATATATGACACGAATTTCATATATTATATATATATAATTCTACACAAAGTGTGTTTATATATAAATACACTCCCCTTGCCAGATGTTTCCATTAGAGAAATTCCCCGAAGTTCCTTAAATTGCTTTAGAATAAACAACCAGACCCCCAACTAAATTGTATTTTTTGTCTTCAAATCTAATTAGGTTTAGAAATATAGTTTTTTCTCTAATTTTCCTCCCACCGCTGTGATATTATTATATTTAAATTATTTTTATTAAATCTCTTACATTTTTTTAATATAGAGAAAATTATTACGTGTGTTATAATAATAGATATTTTTTGAAATAATAAATATTATGAATACATATTTAATGTACTCTCTCTCTCTCTCTATTTTCAACTGATTTATTTTTCTCTGTGAGTCAAAAATAAAATATTTTACCAAAGAACTTCACTTTATAGAATTACTCAACCTCTTTATTAATACAATAATGGAAATTGCAATATTTTGAGGCAATAGTAATTTTTTTTTGTAATGATTCGTGTATGTAATGCGCGTATCATTTTTCGAAAAAAATATTTTCTTATAAAATAATATGATAATTTTTATGAAAGACCTGTGGTTCATCGCTGGGAAACCTTTCCAGTGATTTCACCAATTCAACCCACCAAATCTCTATTTATAGCTCTAATTCTGTATTCGAAGATTCTGCTTATATATTGCTCTATGCAAATATATATGTAATTCTACTGTCCTAAAATATTATGTCCATCCTTTGCTAAAATACCATTTTTAAGATTCCACCTTTCAGTGTAGCATATATAAGCAGAACTGTCCAATACAGTATTAGAGCTTTAAGAAGAGCGTCCTGTTTGATAAATTGGCGAACCCGCTGGGAGGTTTTACCAATGATGAGCCAATCTTTCCCGATATATTTTTATCGCAGTAAAGACAGGAGAAAGTTTTGTTTTATTTGTGAAAGAAGAATTCGAATTTATTGTGTATAGATAGCACGTTATATCTGAGTTTTACTCTGGAATTTTGAAGGTTTTTTTTTTATTAGAGAATGGAATTTAATGGAAACGTGGGGTAGTGTTACTACACTTTTTACCATCGACAATATCTTCTGATCACCTTTAAAGCTTCATTGATGTTTTTTTTTCATTTATAATCATAGTTGAATGAAAATTCCTATATACACTCATGGACAAAACCTAAGGAAATGAAAAGTTTTTGATGTCGCCGTTCATCTGTTTTTTTTTTTCGAGGAGATAGAGACAATTTCGTTCAAACTTGGTTATAATAAAATAAATAAAGCTTCTAGAGCTAAGTTTCTTGTGCAAAACTTTTATTTCCAAGCTTTTGGATTTTTCAGTCCATTAACAGAAGTATCACATTAACATATTAATGATAAATACTTTTATACAAATTATTATTTACATATTTTAAATACTTAGGATATTGAGAGGAATATATTACAATATTCGTGTGTTAAAAACAATTTTTTGAAAATATACGTGCATTGTGGATGATACGTGCTTGGTTGTGTAGTACATCTTCAAGTGTATCAAATATCTTTTAGAGTTATTGTCTGAATCCCGATATACATGATAAAAGGTACAACATCCTTAAGTTTTGTCCATGAGTGTATCTTTCAGAGTTATTGTCTGAATACCGTTATACATGCTAAAAGGTACAACTTCCTTAAGTTTTGTCCATGAGTGTATCTTTCAAAGTTATTATCTGAATCCCGATATACATGCTAAAAGGTACAACTTCCTTAAGTTATGTCCATGAGTGTATCTTTGAGAGTATTGTCTAAATCCCGATATACATGCTATAAGGTACAACTTCCTAGAGTTTTGATTCATTTTTTGAATAAAAGTTGCACTATCAAATATATTTTAAAAACAAAATAATATATTGATGTCTCGGAATGTCAACATTTACATATTTCATTGATCGCAATTCAAATAAAATAACCCTAACCACTTCATATATAATTTTGTAATCCATTTATATGTAACACTATTTACATATTAAAATCAAGTTTTCATAATCAATATATATTTTAGAGATAGAACTTAAATATATTTAAAATTTGATCGGTTTATTTAGCATAAATACACACAAGATTATTTTCAAAGAAAACAACCCAGAAGATGGAGATAAAAAAAATACGTTAGATGTATTTTAAAATCCCAAAAGATCTAACAGATGTATTTACGCGCCTTAGGGGAAAGAATTCCATTGCAGACGATTTAAAAAAAAATTCGTCTGCTATCTTATAAATGGATTTAAAAAACATCAATAGTGAAAATAAATCAATCTTTTTTTAAAATCATTTTATTACTTATGTAATATTTAAATGTATCTTTGCGTGTATTAAGATAGCCCGAGAGAAGATTTTAATATTCTATATATATATAATATTCTCAAATTATTTCTTCTAATTTAAGTCTTTTTTCTAGTTTCTCATCCATCATCATTTAATATAAATAGAGGAATTCTATTTACATAATGGTTCTTCAAGTAGGAAGTTAACCTTAAATGAATTTTGATGGAAATTTGAAGATAATAATATTATCTTTTAATATATATTTCATCTCAATTTATGTAATTAATAAGTATTTTATATATCTAAAGTATATTTATATTTAATATAGAGAGAATAAAAAAATCAATAAAGTTAAAATCATTAAATTTGTTAGTATAATGGAAAAATCAATTTATTCTTCATTGATATACAAAATATATTAAACCTGATGGATAATAACGGAATAGGGACACCCTATTTTGACATCCTTTTTCTAGTAAAAATGATTTTTTAAGAATCACATAGGGACAAATCTTAAGGAAGTTGTACCTTTCAGCATGTATAGCCGGATTCAGACAATAACCCTGGAAGATATTACAGTGACCTTTATTGAAGACACAAGATAACCAAGTCTTAACAATGAAACCATGGTCTCCAGGTGGACGCTTTTCAGTTTTCCAAAGCTGGTGTTGTGGCTTTGTCACCGACCTGAGGCCGCTAGTTTGTGGCATAGGTCAATAGATGGCGTCTATTTTGACGGGAGAAGCGACTTTTATATTTATATATATTGCCTCTGTCTCCTTAAAAAAAAAAAAAAAACAGCCGACCAGCGACATAAAAAAAATTTCACTTCCATGAATGTGAAAGACTTTTCACTTACTTAAGTTTCGTACATGAATGTGAAAGACTTTTCACTTACTTAAGTTAGTCCATGAATGTGAAAGACTTTTCACTCACTTAAGTTTCGTACATGAATGTGAAAGACCTTTCACTTACTTAAGTTTCGTAAACGAATGTGAAAGACTTTTCACTTACTTAAGTTTCGTACATGAATGTAAATGACTTTTCACTTACTTAAGTTTAGTCCATGAGTGTAAATGACTTTTCACTTACTTAAGTTTAGTCCATGAGTGTAAATGACTTTTCACTTACTTAAGTTTCGTACATGAATGTGAAAGACTTTTCACTTACTTAAGTTTAGTCCATGAGTGTAAATGACTTTTCATTTACTTAAGTTTAGTCCATGAGTGTAAATGATAAAATAATAGTTAAAAAAAGAGTGACTAATCAATAGAGAACCAATTTAGCTGTTTAACTAGTTAAATATACCAGACGCTTATAATTGTAGTAGTTTATTTGGCTTATATGTTAATAATATCTAATTTATAAGGAGATGCTGATAAGGTAAAGCATTTTATTTTTGAATTACAATAACGTTTAAACACAATTACGAATCTCTCTGTTCTTTTACAAGTATTGCAACTTCAATCTACACTCACGGATAAAACTTAAATGGAAAGTCTTTGATATCGCCAGTCTTTCCGATTTAGATTTTTATTTTTGAATAGAACAGAGGCAATTTTGTTCACACTTGGTTATATCGTGTATCTTTAATAAAGGTAACAGTGTATCAAATATCTTTCAGAGTTATTGTCCCGATATACATGCTAAAAGGTACAACCTTTGTTACAAACAAGTTTTGTCCATGAGACTGTACATTTAAAAATATATATAACTAGACGAATGGCCCGGGCAACGCCCGGGTTTTACCCGAGTGAGAATAAATTTAAAAACGTTTTAATCTTGTCTTCATCTTGTCTACACCTTGTATACATCTTGCTTCCTAGGGTTGCCCGGCAACGCCCGGGTTGGGTTTACATGATTAAATGTATTATTCAAACACATTAAACATGTGCCCGTTGGCTGCCAGCGAGTAAATGTCGGCGCCCGTTGACTCCCGGCGAGCAAGCGACCGCTCCCGTCGGCTGCCGGCGAGCGAGGGACTTCCCGGCGCATGCGCGCGCCCGTTGACTCCCGGCGAGCAAGCGACTGCTCCCGTCGGCTGCCGGCGTGCGAGTGCCTTCCCGGCGCATGCGCGCGCACAGGGAAGCCACGTGTCGCAGGCGTCCAATGGGCGCGCCCCGCCATCAGATTCCACCGCGTTCTAGATGA